TAGAAAAAACATGTTAAACCTCAATATGGAATATAAGTGCATGCACACTCTTATATCCCCCTACAAAGCCACAAAACAAGACTTTGTGGAGCCATGACAGTGTTAAAGCAACAGGGACAAGAAGATCTGAGGTTATTTACCCTCAACATCTGGCTCAGTGAGGTTCCTCTGTAAAGATGCTGGAGTTAGTGTTTGCAAAGGAGCTGAACCAGCATGACCCTGATGTTTAACCTGCAGCTCTGAGGTTTGCCAACAGGATAGAAGTGGCAATGACCTTCTAACATCAGGGGCCATTCAAGTATATGGTCCTCCTGGACACAGCCAGCCAGCATTGGCCCCAAAGACTTCAGCCTGTGCTGCATAAAGAGAGCTCCACACAGGGGTCCTTTCAGAGCTGGAGACCAACAAGTTCCATCTAGGCTTCACATCCTTGTCACTCTGAGGTCTCCCAGCCCCTTCCCTTTGGGTGCCACACCCACCTAACAGTAAAGCTGTGTTTTCCTTTCCCAAAAAGCAAGCCCTTTCCCAGTCTCATTTATTTGGGACTTCCTTCCTTCTCCTGCTCTGCATGGCTCAATGAATTCTCACTAGTGTGCTTGGTAGTTCATGTCCCTCCAATTTTGCTAACAGTTTTATGGACTTGAAACAATTTTCCAATCTCATTTTTATTTTATTTTATTTTTTTGTCTTGATCATTTTACCCATTGTGTGCTACTTCCTCAGCTTGTAGCACCACTGCTCCCCTACCTTTTGGACCTCATATGCCTTTTATATCCTTCCAGAACATCTTCTCTGGGAAGAGTTCCTCTGTGCTACCTCTTACCATTTGACATTTTAGCTGTTCATCTTTTTTACCTCTAGATTTGAGCAGCTTGAGAGAAAGACCCTGGGCTAATCCCATTTTTCTCACCAGTGCCTAACAAAGAGCCTGGCACACAGAAGGTGCTCAATAAATGTATGCATTTTCTCAAACTGGTGTTAATAAACATGGGCTCATCATTAACTCCATGTCTCAATATAATGGGGCTGTTATACTCAGAGACAAACTACAAATAAAATTAAGTGGCTTTTCCACATAGGAGGTATAATTGACACAGGAATGTCCCTTGGGCTGCAGAGTATGAACTTATTTATGACCCTGAGTAATTGCTATTATTCAAGAAGCTTACAAGAAAGAACTTGTGAGCCATGGAGAACTTTGCTTGTGTGTTTTGAAAAGCAGCAGAATTCACTTGGGCCTGGGTTTGTTTGTTTTACTTTTATCAGAGATAATTACTCATGTTTCTTTCCCCACCCCCAAATACTTTAAGAACCACATATCTGAACTAGCTTTTTGGAAATTGGAGAATGAGTAGCAGCTAACAGTTTCTCCACCCAGACTGTAAAATGTTCTCAGTGTTGGAAGGTAAGGGCAAAAGGCAGGACATCAATTAATGAATATCTTCAGACCCTCTGCACATAATACGTGCCTGGGGTGTCAGGAGCTAGCTAGGGGCTCAGATACAAAAGTGATATATGGCTGAGAGAGAGGACCAAATTCTGCCATTCTTGGGTTTCCACCCTATCTACCAAGAGTGGAATCTTGAATAAAATTCTTACCCCTCACCATCTCAGCTTTTAAACCCCATCATAGTTGTTTTGAAGATGAAGGAGAAAATGCTAATGGATGATGTTTCTAGAGCCTGAAACACAGGAGGCAATGGTAGCTGTTACTAAGGTTCACTCCTTCAGGCCCATCCTTCACCAGCATAATCAGAGTTTCCTGCCCACATTTATCCATTCATTTATTCATTCATTCATGAAATACTGACCAACACTCAGTATGTTGCAGACGCTGTGCTAAGTACTGAGACTAGAGCAAGGGACAAAACAGAAAGCTCTGCATTCATGCAGCTTACCATGTAGCAGGAAGCAAAACTAGAAGAAATATGAACACAAATAAATAACACGTCAGGTGGTGATAAGTGCCCTGAAGTTAAAGATAATGGAGCTAGAGAATGAAGAGGGTGTGTAGGTGACAGGGAATACCTTGGTGACAAGGCTTAGGAAAAAAATTAGGGAAAAGGCCACCTAAGTATCAGTGTGAACAGCATCCCAGGCAGAAGGGAATAAGTGAGGAGACAGTACCCTGGAATCTCCACTCAAGCCACAGGAACCTGGCTGGAGACCCAGCTCCAAGCTCTCCCTCTTCCCTGGGCCTCAGAACCCTGCTCTCTTTTGCAGGGAACCAAAGACAGGATTCCCCCAGGGTCTGGCAGTCAGAGCCTGGCTAGCACATTGAGGGCCACTCAGAGGATTAGGTGTGGGAGATGAGGAAAGGCCCCAAATTGGACTCTAATTCCAGCTTCAGGTCACCACCTGGATGGCTCAGTTGAATTTGCTGACCACAGACACCAGAGGAGATATGGAAACTATGATTTCTGAGCCCTGACTTCAATTTTCAGCCTCATGGAAGTTTTTTTAAAAAGAGTTTCCTTAAATAATTTCAAACTCTTCCCTTCTTTTTTGGGGCCCTTAGAAGGCTGTCAATCAAAATTGGCTCATGTATGGTACACGTGCTCTCTGGTCTTCCTGCACACTTAGCAGGCATTGATAATCCTCTGCCAGACTCCTGGTAGAGTACAGGGAGGGTGCCTTAGGGCTGTTCTTCCTCCCACACTTGAGTTCCCATGGATGATGGAACACAGTACCCAGGTACATGGCCTCTCAACTTCAGTTCTCTTTTGTATTAGAAACATGTTTACAACCCTGGCAGAGGGATACTTGGCTTGACTTTTATAAGGAATTCTATGATAGTTTTGCACGTTTTCTCACCCTGTGAGCAGCTGTCAAGTTGAGGTTAAGGATAGACAGAAAACATTTGTGCACAGAAAACATTTGCACCAATTGAATTCAAGGGACTGGCTTTGTACCTTGGTCTCTGGTGTGAAGCTTCTCATGATGTTCCTCATTAAAAGTCATAGATTTCAAAGACAAAGCATGTGTTCTGTCCATGTGCATGTGTGTGCTTTCACACATATACATGGGTTGTATAAGGGACAAAAGTCTGAAGGAAGATGAGAGGTGATAAAGGAGAGATAAAAGAAGATTTGAAGGGTTACCAGAGCTGAGAAATCATCCTGGGCTCAGAAAACTAAACTCTGTTACAATATCAAAGTTGAATCAACAGGTATGCCAGTAAAATGCTTTTTATTATTTGCCTTACTTGAACTTAGCCCAAATTTCTATTTAATTGCTCCTCTCATTTTCTTGGGTAATAATTATAAGGCTAACTTTTCAAATAAAATAAAATTGTTCCTCTGCTTTATGCAGACTAGTTACAAAGCAGGCTAAGGCAAGTTCCCCAAACCCATATCTCAGTCTTAGATTTTATATATGGACCCAGGGCAGGAAGACTATTTTTATTCCAGCACTTGTACTAATTACTGAGGACAAGTCACATGAGACAGTAGGTCAGGGAGCCTTTCTAGACCCGTTTCCTTGGGCATTAGATTAATATGTTTGACTAGTTATCACAGGTGTGTGTGTGTGTGTGTGTGTGTGTGTGTGTGTGTTTGATGAGGGGTAGGAGTGGCTTTACTATTTTGTAGGACAAATCAATAATTAGTTTCAATATGTTCTATGTTGAGTCTCTAACCTTAACCTAGTCACTAACCAAACTCTGCCACTGGTCAAGGGATTCTAGCAAGATTGAGAGGGAAGGTCTGAAAAGTCCTTCATTACATTATGCAAGAAATCAAAGAAAGTATCCTTCTAGCAGCTCAGTGATGCCTTCTGATGCCCAGCACAATGGAAACCTTCTCTGTGCCTATACTCATGGGGACTGTAGCCCCGTGGTTTTCAAAATGGAGCAATGAAGCCTGGAATATGAGAAAAGATTTCTTTCTTATGGTAATAGCATGTAACTAAAATGTTAAAATACTTACAAATGCTTGCTTTATTGGCTGTGTTTTCAATCACTTTTGGAGACCTTTGAAATCCATGCTTTGACTTTCCCTACTTGGCTCTGTATCTCAGAAGTCAATTCCTAAAAATTGCATTTTTTAAGGTCATATGCCCTCTGGCTTTGGGTTAAATGTGGTCTATGAGAAGCACTGGCAAGAGACTGGCAGACAAGGGAAGCCAGGGCATTTCCTCTCTTCCCTCTTGGCACTGAAAGTCTCTGGCAGTGATTCCTCTGTGGCTTCGCCTCCTAATGGGAAACTGCTCCCTCTGTGGTCCCAGCTCCTGCTGGGTGGCTCCCCAACGCCCACCACCACCTCCCTTTGATTCTCCAGCCCAACAGGTAATAGCAGGATTGCCTCACTGTGCCTTCAGCCTCTCCAACCTTGGCAATGAATTCCTTCCACTGAACTTCTTGGCATAGGCTTTACCTTTCTATATGGACCATGGATGATAACACTGTCCAGGGGTCTATGGTCTCCAGAGAACAGACATTATATTTAGGAGTGTACAGACTCCAGACGATGAACTTGGCACATATATTCCTTCTTTCCTTGGCAGAGAAGGTCTCTTCAGTGGTCATTAGCCTGACCACCAAGTACTACTTGCACTAGGTGTGTGGGATGTGGAAGGAACACTGCACAGAGCACCAGACCCTAGATCTTGCTCAAAACTTTGCCAAGGGCCTTAGAGCACCACAGGCCTGATCTTTATCACGTCGGGGGGAATAGGAACAAGAGCTCATCTAATCTGCTGACTGCCTAGATTCAAACAAGGAGGGCATGAAAATGTGTTTTAGATACCCAAATGGTTCTTGCAAATCTGATGTACGGCTATTATTATCCAAGCCCTGGTTGACCTTCAGGGGAGAGAAATGCTTGGCTCTTAATTTCTAAGGCTGATTGTGCTAACTGTACTAACACAGGGGAGGGCTATAGATTGGTGCTTGGCATGGTACAAAAGCTACAGGGTCCTCGCTGTGATCCCAGTGCTGGGCCTCCCCTTGGCATCACAAAGTTTAGTGTATCAAGACCCGAAGGAAGTCAGGACCAACGTACCAATGTCAAGGACCCTCTGCTTCGCTGTGTGCTGCCGAGAGTGCCAGTACTTCCAGTACTTCAGCTGTTCATCTCGGTTTTTGTCTTCGCTGAAGACCACCATCACCACACTCTGCAGAGGGGAGAATGGAGAGGTTACTCTCTGCCCAGTGCTTCTGTTGCCTTAGAGGGTATGTTTCTTAAGCAAGAGAGCCCAGACGAGTTCAGGTGTATGGATGGTTTTGTTTTAAATGTGCTTACTTAAAAAAAAAAAAATGGAAAATGAGAACCACACAAAGGGAAAAAAGAGAATCCTATAGCAATTTTGATTATTCCGTGAAGTCAGCCAGAACACCAAAATATTTTTTTCTTATATTGTAAATAAGCATACTTTTGAAATTTTGTATCCCAAAACAGAATTTGGGACCATTGGTAAAGAAGCAATATCCACTTCTGGCCGAATTTAGTGCCTGGGTTGAAGTAGGGGAGGTAATGAGAGAAATATTAAGAAAATGAGGGGAATGCTGAAAGATGAATTCCTATTGATGCACAGAGTTAAACTACAGATATTCCATATGCTGAAAAATGCAAGGGCAGCTATGCACGGTGGTGCATGCCTGGAGTCCCAGAGGCTTGGGAGGCTGAGGCAGGAGGATTGCAAGTTCAAAGCCAGGCTCCACAACTTAGTGAGGCCCTAAGCAACTCAGTGAGACCCTGACTCTAAATAAAACATTTAAACAAAGGGCTGGGAATGTGGCTTAGTAGTTAAACACCCTGGGTTCAATCCTCAGTACCCAAAACAAAACAAAAAAACAAGGGCAAATATGTTATCTATTTAAATTTAACAGGGAGGTACTTGAAAAATAAGCTTGAGAAACTGATTATATCTTGAAGAAATAAAAATCCAAAACCTCTTTTGGTTCTAAGTTACAAGCAGCCTCATTAAACTAAACACCCATAAATTCACTGTCATTTATAAAATGGAAGATAGCACCAAAAATAAACAAAATAGACACGGTACCAAAACAAACAAACAAAACACTGAAACTTCAGTGCCAGGAATGCTTCTCCTCTCATCCCATATCCAAAGTACTTCTTAGACACTTTCTGACTATTGCAAAAGAATAACTCATTGACTCTCTTTCCTTCAGAACTTTTTTGGGCTGGGGATGTAGCTTAGTGGAAGAGCACATGCCTTGTGTGTACAAGGACCTGGGTTTAATCCTTAGGCACAAAAAAAAACACAAAAAAACTTTTCCTTTGTAGTATTTGACACATTTGTAATCATTCACTTAATTATTCAGCCAATGGCAATGTCTTCCCATTGACTTTGAACTCAACAAGGTCAGGAACGTCTGCTATTCAGCACTGTAGCTCTGGAACCTGAGAAATGTCAACAGACAGCAAATTCATGCTGGTGGCTGACTGTCAACTCAAAACCCAGCTCACTCCTAATGGACATATGAACATGTTCTATATAAGACAGCAGATGCTTGTTAGAAAAACTAGCTTAGAAATATGTGTCCATGTCATTTGAATTCACAAGCATCAAGAGTGTCAAAGGATTAGTGGCTGCAGGGGAAGCTGTTCACTGTGTGATGAGCCCTGAGCTCAGCCAGCCCTTGTTCTTCCACAAATGTGTCCATATATACTTAGAAGTTTATTGTGTGGTTTCCTGGTGTTTATTTCTGGCCCAAAATAAAAATAACATTTAAAGTAATTTTTTCCCTAGCAAAAGATTAAATTAGCATAAGTAATGGCACATTCTTGGTATTAAAATTCATTTCTTCTGTAAGAAACAAAAAAAATCAGTTTTAAACTGTTATCATCAAGTTTATATGCCTTGATTCAGAATTTTACACTATTCTTGGAAATAAATGCTGGCAGACTACAAGTATTTTCCTTCGACCTTAGACTCCTTGCTGTCCCAGAGGGGCTGGGTGAGAAAGATTTACTCTGAGAGATACCAAATTACTGTCAAGATTAGAAGTTAGAGTGAAATCTTTAAGAAAAGGAGGGGTTCTCATTTTAGCCAAAATAGAACAAAAGGAAATATATTTTTTGTATTAAAGTACTTCTATGATTCCCACAAAGTGGGATTCTTGGGAAAGTCTCTGTACTCCATACTGGTGCCATGCCTTAGAATATTAATAGTCCACCATTTTTTCAGGATGATGGTGATGGTGAGATTAAGAGGATGTATATAATTAAATTCTTACTTGGAATTTACAAAACTTTTAAAAAGAAAAGCCAATGTATCCGGTGTCTTCTTCTTCTCAGACACCCATATGTGACAGTATGTCAAAGTTAAATATCCAGAGGTGGACCAGGATGAAATTTCTCTGCTTTTCACCCACCTACGCTGCTCAACACAGCACATGTTAGTGATTCAGAGAGGTGGGCTCAGGAGTCTGGTGGCCTGGGATATGTCCTAGGTTCCTGTAGCCTTGGCCACTTACCAGCTTCTGAAAGTCCAAGTTTCCTTATCTGTAACACTATGATAATAGAGTGTCTTTGTCATAGGGTTGTTGTTAGTTTCAGTGAGTTACTAGTCATGCAACACATGAAAGATATTCAATAATTCTCAATTGGTATGACTCACTGTGGCTGGTCGTTGTCATGGTATATCCTCCATCATGGTTTTGACCACAGGGGTGGGGCATTCTAATTCACCTGATGCACACAGCATACTGGGCACCTTTTGACCTACAATCAGCTCAGCCCCTGTGTGAGACCTTGGCCCCATGTGTGCTGGAAGTAAACTTGGCCTGCACCATGCTCTAAGCATGCCACGCTATTCCCCTCCTAGCATTCCCAGGAGCTTATCCGGAAGAAGCTATAGGCGAAGTAAGGGGAGCCGGGCACCATGGATATAACCGCATACAGCATTTTTACATAGACCAGAAAAGTCTACTTTACAACAGATTGTGAAAGTTCTTCAACCTCTTTTCAGAGCTTGGCTATAATTTTCCTTTTCAGTAGAGAGGGATTACCAAGGATTACCCTTCTTGGCAGTAGTGAGCATACCAGAAACTGGCAAGATTCCAAAGCAGTGAGTTAGGGATCCAGTTTCATTTCTCACAAATAGGACTAATACACAGGAACCTGAAAATTCCCCCAGGTTGTTTCTGGTGGGGATCAGGCCTCATCCCTTGAACCCTGAGTAAGCCCTGGCCTATAGAAGGCTTCCAAACAAAGTTGAAAAGGGCCCAGGGACTCAGAATTAATTTCTTTCTCTCTTACATCGAGCAATAGCTCGTCTCACCCACAGAAATGTCCTGATTTACAGTTATTTATTTGAAAACTTAAAATCAATTGAAAACAAATATACAGCATCCAGGCAGGAATGAAAGAAGGAAAATTTCCTGGATACAGTCAGAAAGCCTGTTCCACCACACTTTTTCCCTGGGGTTGATTGGTTACTGATTAAAACGAGGAACTAGCCAATAAGTTTTCTTGCTCCAACTCTCTGATATTTGTTCTAGAATTATTTATTTTGGAAGTTTTTTCCCATGCTGTTCCACAGGCTGTGAGGTAGCTATTTCACTCATCTGATCTCTCTGTACTTCATTTGGAGAAATGTAGCCCATACCCTGACTTTGCTGATGGGATGTCGGAAGCATTTGTTGTCCCCGGTCTCACTGAGTGTTATGGCGTAGAACTGTCCTTTGTTGAGGTAGGTCATAGGGCCCTCCCCCTGCTTCTGACGGAGAGATTTGGTGGCTTCCAGGGTATATTGAAATGTGCCGCTGTGAACAGAAAACAGTGGTCAGATGTGTTCCCTGGACATTTCTACCTTCCTGACCTGTTCCACATCAAGAGCATTTTGTATGAATATTAACCAACGTTTACTCTATTTTAAATAGAGACAAAATATAGCATATGGCAAAAGAGATGAGACCAGACCAAAGGTCATTGTTGGTACAATGTATACAACATTTCTAATAGTGTTCCATAAAACAGATGGTTTAGAAGGGGAGAAAGTCCAGGGTGTGCCTGGCCAATTGGGCAAGCTTGTTGCAGAGAACCTCTGGTATATCTTAGTTGGCATTCAGGTAATGCCAACTAAAACTTCACAATTGATAGAATTTGCCACTTTTATCCTAACCACTTGCCAAAAATCTGAATGCTTTTGTTCATTTCAGGTTGCCAAACCTTCTTTGTATCTAACTAAGATTTACCAATAGCTATATTTCACTTAAAAATATTTTGAAATACGAAAATCCAGAACCAAACATTCTATTGAGAATCTAGTTCTCCAACAGCGAGTATTTTCTGTGTTTGTTTCTTGTTCTGAAATCTGCAAAAGAACTTATGACAAAGCTACTCTAAATCAGGGGTTTTCAAATGATGATCTGTGGACCACAAGCTGCTCAATGTCTGTGTGCATAAATAAAGCTTTATTGGAACATGGCTACACTAATTTGATTATGTATTGTATAAGACTGCCCTCATGCTACAACTGCAGTTCTTAGTTGTGATGAGGACTATAGCTTGACAAATCTAAAATGTGCACTATCTAGTTCATCACAGAGAAAGTTTGCAGATCCTTGCTTAAACAGTTTCCTTAAACATTGTTTAAAAGATGTAATTTACAAAACAAAAAACACCAATTTTTTTCCAACTTTGAAGAACATATCAATTGTTTACACTGAACACAATAGATGTGACCACAATCTTTTTTGTTTTACATGTTCACTCAGAAATATTTACTTCTGGGCTGGGGATATGGCTCCCAGGCAGAGCGCCTGCTTGGCATGTGTGAGAGCCTGGGTTTGACCCCCAGGAAGGAAGGAAGGGTGGGCTTCTGCTGTACTGTAGGATGGGCCACAGCTACAAATACTGTATTTTCTGAATCATCTGACCCTCTCCATTTTTTTCAGTCCTTTCATTTCAGTCTTTAAAAGACTGGATGCAAAGGTGATTCTCAAATTCTTTCTTAAAATGGCCTATTTGCAAGGATTAGGAGAGACTATTGCCTTCTATGTTAGCTACTTCTGTAATATTATTTTATTTGTACTTTAACTTTTATAATGAGAAAGAATTCTAAGGAGGAAAATAATACTCTTCTTATATGATAAAAATCTGAGGCTTAAGCAAATGAGCTAAGCAAATTCCAGAATATGTATCTTAGAGCATATGGGAAATAAATCAATTACAACAGAACCATTTGCAGTGATATTTTGCCCAAAAGAACAATTATGATACAGTACCATAAAATAATAAAATTTAGACCTGATTGCAAGCTACTGGTCACCTAGATAACTAGGTCAAAGATTGTTTTTAACATATAAAGAAAGCTTGGAACCCTCTTCCCAGAAATAGTCACATATGAACATAAACAACTTTTAGTATAATTGCAGAGGTTCATATCCCCCCAGGCTGTCCAGAACATAGGGTAAAAACTCTGGATTCAGCCCACCTTCCTCCTTCCACAACTTGGGAGGGTCTAAGAGACCTGCTCAAACCATCTGACAATGGTGGCAGCAGAAGAGAAATCAGGCCAAGTGACTAAACTGAGAGCCAATCACACAGTGCTTTGGATTTTACACACAAATCATCTATGCATTTCCATTTTTTAGAAGGTAATCTGTCAAGATTGGAAATAATGATGTAGAAGTTCATTTGCACAGAGCAAAGAATGGAAGGCAAAGGAAATCAGATTGTTCTATGAAAGTACACAAAGAAAAAATTGTTCAAAAGTGTAACTTACAGGAACAGTTAAAGGATCCTTAATGAAGGTGCAACTTCTGGTTTACCTACCTTGACGTCTGGTCATACATGTACTCCTCAGCCCCAACTGAAGCACTCCGAAATTTCTGCAAAATTTAAGTCATTAAAAAAAAAAAAAGTAGGTCAGTACACCAAAGGAAAAAAATGATAAGTATATTCTGTTTTAGCCTCCCCTTAGAAAGGAAAGTTGTGTATTGGGGGCATTATGTTTTCAAATGACAAAAATAGTTTCCACCTCTTTACAGAACTCACATACCACCTCCCTGAGGGCTACACTCAACAGAAGACACATTCAGGCTTTGGAAGTTATTCACATGTCCACGGGTGTTCCCAAAGCATTTGCAGTTAGAAACTATTTCTTCAAACATAAAATATCACTTTCATTTTTTATTTTCTCCAACACTCTTACAAATATCACAAACTCTGAATTCATGGAATATTAATAACACAGAGGGCACATAATGTAGCAACATAGGAGAGTGGTTAGAAGCACAGGTTCTAGAGCAAGACTGTCCAGGACCAACTTCTAGCTCTCTTACCTGATATTCCTATAAAATAAAGCCAACTTGATATTTTCTCCATCTGTTAAGTACCTACCAATTAGAGGGACTAAATAGGCTAACAAAATATTACTAACAGTGATTGGTACATAGTGAGCACTATGGATGTGTATTAAGCACTAATAAGTGGCAACAGCTTGAGCATGGTCAAGGCCCTTCTCTAGGGATCTCCATGGTCACATTTTAAGAGTAGGGTTTTGGAGGAAACTTTAAGTCTAGTTTTGCACAAAAAGAAGCTTGGGTCCAGAGATGTTTGTTTATATATATGGTTCAAATAGAATGCATTTTGCTACATTTTAGAACATTTTCAAAAGTATATGCCTCAAAGCCTTAACTCTTGATCCTAAAGCAAGAATAATAGAATACTGGTATTCTAGGTTGGCCACACACACCCAGTCCTCTCACTGTGACCTTTTATTTTTCAAATATCTCTAAGAAATTGAAAAAATTATAAATAGTGTGCAAGCCCTCTATAGAAAAACAACAGGATTCTCAACAAGTAGAGAAACAAAAAAAATACACAACTGAGAAAGTGAAAATCAACACTGACAATTGGCCTGGATGGTCCTAAGAGAGTTCAGTGCTTCTGGGGGAGGATAGACAAGGCAGAAGAATAGCAGTATCCAGCCCAGGACACGATAGCACAGCTACAAGAGCAGGTAACATCCCCTTCCCTAAGTGATTTCAGCTTTCTTTGCAAAGACATCCCCAGCTCCACTTTGATCATCCCATCCCTTGAACAATGATTACCAAGTACCTGGTTTCTGAGGGCCCCTACATCTGGACAGTATCCAATCCAAACTGCTCCCTTCCCTCCTGCTAGACAAACACACAGAGGAATCCATCCCAAACAGCAAAATGAAATTCACTCATTCAACAAGAGTTCCAGAAATGTTCTTAGTTTGCCTAAAAGAAGCACTAGATTTTAGACAAATTTTCCTTCATTAAATTTTCTTGGTGAAAATACTTCAAACTTGCTCTTAGAACCAGATGCAAAAACAACAACAACCAAAAAAAAAAAAAAAGCAGACTCAAGATCATAGCAGATCATTTGGTTTAACTTACATCAGGCTGAAATACAATCTACAAGACAAACTCCAATCTTCAAGACGAGAAGAGCAGCAGCTCAACCCAAATGCTTCATTTTTAGCTTTTGGCAAGTTCCTTTGCTTTCTCATTGACTCCAAAATAAAGCTCCGAACACAATAGCTTCCTTTCACATGGCTCTTTATCCACAACACAAACACAACTGATATCCCATCCCCCCAATAGTATGATGTTTCCGTTGACATTGGACCATGTCCACACACTCTTCTGTGACTAACAGAATGTCTCTAGAAAGTGTGAGAAAATACATCAGTGGCAACCCACTGGTGAAGAAACTTGTACCTAATCCCTCACCTGGGATTATGGAGTGGTAGATTCAGTTATTTGTTTTTCCTACAGAAGCATCCCTGACTGCGGGGGGGGGGGGGACAAATCGAGTATTCAACAATATATCAAAGACTCTACAAGATCCCTCACTCAGCTAAAAGAAACTTTTTAAAATTACTTTCAGCATCATAACAGGAAGCTAACTGTAAGACATTTTTTCCTTTTTTATTATGAGGATAATAAAAGTTTAGTTGTAAAGCCACGAAACGCCAAGAAATATGATAGCCTCTTAGGGGCAGGGAATTTCTCATGTCTGGCTCTGGTCATGCTGATTGTAGAGAATACAACAGGTGCCCCTAAATGACTGGTGTCAGGAGTGGCAGGGCTGGGTGCACCAGCTCCCACAGGACTGCAGAGAGCTTATGCTGATTGCCAACCTTTTCAGCCTCTTCTCCCCACCCAGAAGATAAGAACTATCTATGGCCATAGATAAAGGACACCCAGATTTTAAACAAACATTTGGCGAGTCACTGACTTAAGCAATGGAACTACTGAGAATTGGAAGGTCCCATACAGTGTTCTCCAAGAGTATGGAGGTGAAAGTTAAGGATGTAGGAGCTGGAGCAGCCAGCTTGGGTCAAGTTCCATCACTCCCACTTGCTGCTAAGTGACCAATTCTTGTTTTCTCTATGCCCTGGTTTCTTCATTAAGAAAAGAAATTTGACAATAATGCTACCCCCTCATGCGGCTTTCAGGAGGATTAATGAGTACACATCACCTAGACCGATGCTGCTATGTTTTCTGGTTTCAATGTGTCCCAAGTGCCTGTGTTGAAACATTAACCCCAATGTAATAGTGTTGAGAGGTGAGATATTTAAAAGATGACAGATTGTGAGGATGGCCATGGTGACTGGATAAAGGTAACTGTTGTGGAAGTGGGTTGTCACTGAGAAAGTGGTGTTTTTTTTTTTTTTGGCTTAATGTTTATTTTTTAGTTGTAGGTGGACACAATATCTTTATTTTATTTTTATGTGCTGCTGAGGATCGAACCCAGTGCCTCATGCATGCTAGGTGAGCACTCTATCACTGAGCCACACCCCCGGCCCCAAGAAAGTGGGTTCTTACTGCCAGAGTGGGTTTGTTACAAGAGCAAATTCAGCACTCTGTCACACGTGTGTATGTTTTGCCCTTCTGCCCTTCTGCCATGGGATAATGTAGCAGGAGGCCCTCAGCATATGTGGCTCCTTGATCTTGAACTTCTCAACCTCCAGAACAGCTTGTCAAATGCATTTCTACTCATTGAAAATTCCTCAGGCTCCAGCATTGTTATTACAGCACAAACAGCAAGTGTTTACCAAGTGTTGGGGTTTTTTTTAATATTTTTTAGTTGTAGATGGACACAATACTTTTATTTTTTACTTATTTATCTTTATATAGTGCTGAGGTTTGAGCCCAGTATCTCATACATGCTAGGCAAGTGCCCTACCACTGAGCCACAATCCCAACCCTTACCAAGTGTTTATTATTTTTAAATATTATTATTTAGCAATGAAATCCCAAACTCCAGTAACTACATTTTTGTCCCAAATAAGCAGCCAGCTGAAGATATTTGGCATGCAGCCACCATGCTTCTCCTCTTTAGGAAATTAAAAAACACCCATTTCCCCCTTCTGCCATCATGTTTAAAATTGGAAAGCCAATGAGTATCTAAAATCTAGACGCACTGCTCCCTAAAGGTAAAGAAGGTGATGATCTACTAAAGGTATGCATTACATATTCTAGGTCAAATATTGGAGAGATGGACCATGATTATATCATGAACAGATATTCTGAGAAGATTTCAAGGCCATTAAATGAATGCAAGATCATTTTTTCAACAAACAATGCTGGAACTACTGATTATCAGTGTGTGGGGGGAAACAGAACTTTTTTTCCTTACTTCATATCAAATATAAAGTTTACCTAAGAATGGATAAGAAGCCTACATGTAAGAGGTAAAGTTATTAGGCATCTACAGGGAAAAAATAATTTGCTGTAACATTGGGATAGGAAAAGACTTCTTAAACAATATCCAAAAGTATCAACTATGAAGGACAAAATTGGCAAAGTAAGCTTCATCAGATTAAATACTGTTGCTCTTTGAAAGACATTCAGGAAACTAAAAGGTACAAGATACAAAACAAGATGATAAAGAGCTTATATTCACACTACTTAGAAACTCTTACAACCTAATGAAAGAAACATAAATAAGCCTATTTGAAAACTGGGCAAAGAATTTGAACAAATACTTCACAAAAGAAGTCACAGGGAGGGCCAAATAAGTATATGAAACAGCTCAACAGAAATCAGAGAATGCAGACTCAAATCAAAATGAGATACCATGTTATATCACTAAAATAGCTAAAGTTAGAAAGAGTGACATACCCAGTTTTAGAAAGAGTGTGGAAGGCAGGCATCCTCATACATTGCCAATGGGAATGAAAATGGTACCATCACTTTGAAGCACTGTGTGGGAGTCCCTTGTAAACTTGAATGTACATTTACCAAATGGCCCAGCAATTCCAGCCCTAGGTATTTGCTCATGACAGGCCTCTGTCCACATTAAAAGATACACATGAAGCTGGGCTTGGTGGTACACGCCTGTAATTTCTGTGGTTTAGGAGATTGATGCAGGAAGATCACACGTGAGTTCAAAGCCAGCCTCAGTGACTTAGCCAGGCCCTAAGCAACTCAGTGAGACCCTATCTCTAAATAAAATACAAAAAAAAAATGGCTGGACCAAATAAAATAAAATAAACACATGAATATTTATAGCAGTGTTATTCATATTAGCCCCAAACTGGAAGCAACCAAAATCTATCAACTGGTACAAAAGTAAATGAACTGTGACATACACTTACCATGGAATACTACTCAGAAATTTTTAAAAATCATATAAGCAACATAAGTGAAACATAAAATTATGCTAAGTGAAAGAAGACAACATAAAAGACTATACACACGCTATCCTTCTATTTACCTGACATTTTAGAAAAGGCAACAATATAGTAACAAAAGGCAGATTAGCATTTCCCAAGAGCCAAAGAGGAAGAGGGGGTTTAAGGGAACTTTTAGGGTGAAGGAACTTTCTACATGATGATTCCAAAGACAGCTACATAACTGTATACAAACCAAATCTCTCAAACTCAGCACTCTGAACATATGAACTTAAAGAAGCAAAGATTATTGTTCTTGTACATTCTATGGGCACTTGAAAATATGTAGTCTCCAGCATAAAATACAAAGTACACACACATAAAATGGACTATAGATAGAACACCTTCTCCTCAAATATTCAATCTAACAAGGTTTTTTAAAAATGACATTGTTTTTAAAAAAGAGTTGATAGGCAATGTCTTTTGCTACCTATCATTTGGGAGGTTACTACTAGAGGAGGTCAAGGTGGAAACTTTACTAAGCAAGAACAATTTCATTTTTTCTTTTTGGTAGGGATTGAACCCAGGGGC